AATATGCAACATATCATGGCGGATGGAGAACAGACTGACAATGTCAATATTTCTACTTGGATCCACAATCAACACCTTTGGTTCCAACAATCAAAAGATCAGGAGATGTTTGGCCTGGGAAAGTCTACAGTCAGGGATGTTTCCGAATTATTAAAGAGCAATGATACCAGTGTGAGTGCAAAGGTGCACCTGAGTCACTTGCTATGCATCTGAAAGCTGGACAATGAATAAGGTTGATGACAGAAGAATTGTTGTCTTTGAGCTGTGCTGCCAAAAGAATAAATAACTATGTCTTAAAGTGCTCCACAAAGGCAGAGATAATAAAGCTACAACAGGCTTGAGTGCGTCAGAAAGTGTTGAGACGGCATAGGATAGAACAGGGTTAAAATCTCTTGTTCATTGGGTCACTACAGGTCATAATGAACTTGATAGCACCTAACAACAACAATTAAACAATAATCCAAGGAGCAACCTGGTTTCACTCACTCTAGGACAGAACTGTTAGTTCTCTTGGCAGTCCACAGTGTGTTCAATACTCTTCACCAGCACCACAACTCAAAGGCATTGATTTTTTTTTTCTTCTTCTTAGTCACAACTTGGTGAATGCATCCAGGGCAGCATTTTCTTGTTGAAATACATCAATTGGTTATGTCATTAATTCCCGAGGCCTTGTTTTTTTGTCAATTCTTTCAGAGCTGCTTGAACAACTTCTTCATCACCACAGGCTCTTGCTCACACATTGTTTCATGAAATTCTTCCGTGTCAGCCAATTTCTTTTGGTACAATGACTCTGTATACTCCTTCCATCTTCTTTTAATGCTTCCTGGATAATTTATGGATTGCAACTCGATGCTTGAATTTGTTCTTCAACTCCTATAACGTGAGAAATGCTGAACTAGTTCAGTCCTTTTGATTTTCAGACTTGAGCTCTTTGCACATTCCATTATAATACTTTGTCTTCCCATGCTGCCTTTTGAAATCTTCGGTTCAGCTCCTTTATTTTTTTATTTTATCCCTCTGCTTTGGCATCTCAGTACTCTAGAGCAATATTCAGTCTCATCTGACATATTTCAATAAATAGACACTGCCCTGGATGTGCTCAACAAGTTATGCCAAGAAATCTGAAGGACAACCACCTGGCCAACTAGCTGGAAGAGATCTATATCTGTTCACATCCCAAAGAAAGTGACCTGACAGAGTGTGGAAATTATCGAACAATATCACTAATATCACATGCAAGCAAGATTCTGTTGAAAATTATCCAGAACAGCACATCAACAGAGAACTGCCAGATGTGTAGGCTGGATTTAGAGGAGGCCATGTTACAAGGATATTAATTATAGCCTGGTCTAGGTTTAGGTTTCACATGAGGCCAATTAAATGTTCTGAGACTCTCATTCTTCTCAATGTTAGCCACAGGGTTGTGATCCACAGTCAAATGCCTTTGCATAGTCAATAAAACACTAACAGACATATTTCTGTTATTCTCTGCTTTCAGTCAAGAGCCATCTGACATTGGCAATGATATCCCTAGTGTCATGGCCTTTTAACAAAATGTCAATCAAAACCACACTGGGAAATCACTTTATTGTTGTTAGATGCCATCAAGTTCACTGCAGCTCACACTGATCTTATGAGCAACAGATCTGAACCTGCTCCATCCTCTACTATTCTATCTCTGTCATTGCTCAAACCCACTGCAGTAGCCATTGTGTCAATCCTTCTCATTAAGGATCATCCTCTCTTTCCACAGGAGACTAGAGCGAGGGCTGCATGGTGGAGGGGACCTGGGGGAGGGTTTGTAAAACAATGAAAGAATCTTTTCTTTTAATTTTCCATAATTTTTGGACTCATGTACTTATAACTTGTTAGTCAAATTTGTGTCTTCTAGGTTGCAACACCCCCATGATACATCTTCAAGGATATGAACATGTACAGCCAAGCACAATCAATAAGAGTGCATCTAAATTCCAAAATCAATCTCCATAATAGTCTATGTGTTTCCTACTGCCAAAGGGGCCCTTTAGAGTAGTGAGAGAAGATCTTCACCCTGAAACCCACAGCGTCCCTTTTCAGCAGGAAGTAGCTAAGAGAATACGCCATCCCCTTTTCCTTATGACTCAGGGTGAAGTCTCTCTCAGGGAGGAGTGATAGGGAATGGCAAAGGACACACTGACAAAGAAGATTAATCAGAACTGGCTTTGACAAGCACTGTGGCATTTGGACAAGAACAAACTGGGAGGAGGGTAGAGAGAATGGTGCAACAATGAATGAGTGGAAGCCCAAAATCTCTGTAAATGTTTATGAAAATTAATAAAATATAATTATAGAAAAAAAAAAAGGATCATCCTCTCTTTCATTGACCCTCTACCTTTCCCAGCATTTCTCTCTTCCAGGACTGTCTCCTCCTGAAAATATGCCCAAATTAGGATGCACATCCTTCAAGACAGATTTATTTGCTCTTTTGGCAGTCCATGGGATATTCAATACAATTTAAAGGTATCACTATTTAAAAGTATCAATCTTTCTTCATTCTTTCATATTCATTGTCCAATTTACAGATTACACAGAAAGCAAATGAAAATATTATGACTTCGATTAGGACACTCTAGGCTTTAAACTGACACTGACTCCTGACAGCAAATATCCCTAATGCAGTACATCTTTTAATATCTTGACTGCTGTTACCACAAGTGATAATTGTGAATTCAAGTAAAATGAAACTGCTGGCAACTTCAATCTTTTCTCCATCCATCATGATGTTGCCTCTTGGTCTAGGAGTGAGAAATTTTGTGTTCTTGATATTGAGATGTAATCCATATTTAATGCTGTACTCTTTGATCTTCTGTGGTAGGTGTGTCAAGTCTTCTATGAACTCATTAGCATCAAGTCAGCTCTGAACCACAGAGATTCTCTAGTGAATTTCCAAGACTGAAATAGTAATGGCTAGAGCCTACACATCTTTCTCCCCCCAGAGCTGAGAGTGGATTCAAACCACTGGAGACAAGCAACCTTTTGGTTAGCAGCTCAACCTGATAGAGGCACCAACATAGAAAACATATGATACCAGTTACAGGTAAAGAGGAAAAATGAAAATCCTCACACACTGAGGAGTATAAAATGGTACGGCCACTTTGGAAAAACTTGACAGTTTCTTAAAGTTAGACATATACAACATAGCAATCTCACTCCTATGTATCTACTGAAAAAAAAAGTTCACACAGTATTATTTGTATGGAATGTTCCTAACAGCATTATTCATAAGAAAAAAATGGACAAAATTCAAATATCAATCAATTAGTAAATAGATTTTTTTTAATGTCATTTTTACTCAGTTTTACAAAGGCACAAAATACTGATGCTGGCACCAACAGAGAAACCTCAGAAACATGCTCAGCCAGACACCAAAGACTACAGATGAGATTACATGAGAGGATTCCAAACTAGCACAAGACAATTTTTAGGGTGACAGAAAGCTTCTAAAATGGAATTGTGGCAATGACTACACAACTATAAAAATGTACTAATAGTCAGCGAGCCATACATTTAAAATTCATGACATGTGTATTACCCAGACAGCCATAGTGCTCCTTGGAGGTAACAATGGCGAAACTTGGTATTGCATACTTTGGGCATGCTGCTAGAAGCTATTCCTTGGAGAAGGACAACATGTTTGGAAAAACAGGGGGATGGCAAAGGGTGTAAGCCCCTCAATGAGATAAATGGATACAGTGACTGCCGCAATGGGCTTGAGAGTGTCAAGACATCGTAAGGATGGCACAAGATAAGAGATGGATCAGATCTGTTGTTTATAGGGTAACTAGGAATCATATTAATCTCGACAGTACCTAACAACAACAACATGAACAGGGGTGGCTCTGGTGACTTCTTGTTGTTGTTGGTATGTGTCACTGAATTGAGTAGGACTTTTAGTGACCCTATGAACAACAGATCTGAACCATGTCCTATCCTTGTGTTGCCAACACAAAGGTATATGGTTTGAATCATCCAGCTCCACAGGAAAAAGATGGGCAATTTCCTCCTGTATGATTTACTGCCTCTAAAAATTCACTGGAGAGTACACAACACTATGGAAAATTCTACCAAATGAAGCTTTTAAAAGAAAACTGAAGATGGGGACATGTATACCTTGCTTAGGGGATACTGAACTTATGTTAAGGGTGATAGAAAAATTCAGGAATAGTTAATGGTGATGGTTGAGGAACACAAACACCAATGTTTGTGCTAATGTCATTGAACAGCATATGAGAATACTGTTGAAATAACCAATGTTTTATTATCCAAATATTCACCACAATAAAAGAAAACTATGAATCAAACATCACAGGAGTCCCTGTGTACTGCAAAAGGTTAATGTGTTTAGCTGCTGACTACAAGGCTGGAAGTTTGAGTTCACTCTAAGGTGTCTCAGAAGACAGACCTAGGGATCAAGAAAATCAGTCACTGAAGACACAGCTGAGAACAGTTCTACTTGGACACATGTGGAACCAACTCAAAGACAGGTAGAAAAAAGCAAACCACTACTTCAGTGTACACACAATGGAAGAAACAAGCAAACTCTAGTGAAATAGTTGTAGTTATGTGCTGTTGAGTTGCCCGCGACCCTGTGTACAGGAGCTCTGAAGCCTGCCTTGTCCTTAACCAGTCTCACTAATTCTGACACACCAACTCGCATTGCACCAGTCACAGTATCAATTCACCTTATCTGGGGTCTTCCTCTCCTGTGCTGTCCCCTCCACCCTGCCAAGCATGATGTCCTTCTCCGAGGACAAAAACAAATAATATTACAGTATTCTGATGTTACAGATTGCTTTACTCTGAGATGCATCTTATGCTTCTTCAACAGAAAAATGTGTATTATTTTAAGAAAAAAATTTATAAATTTAATAATGCTCTCACAGCATAACAGCAAGTCCTTTATATTACCAAAGAAAAAGTAAATATTTCAAATATTTAAAAATCACCATAAAAATACTAACCTTCCAGCTAGCAGTACAATGCCAATCCCCATTTTCACTTTTGTCCCAGACCTATTAAGAAAATAAAAGGCAGATGTTTAAATGTGGAATTCTTGCAAATGAAATTTTTTTAAAAGGCTGTATATTTGAAAAATTTAAAAAAGTTAACTGGGAGAGAGGGAAGGGAGAGAGGGAATAAAATATGTGCAACAATGAATGAATGAAAATCTAACTTTTTTGTAAACTTTCATTAAAATCACAATTAAAATGAAAAATTTTATTTAAAAAAAGTAAGACTGTAATCAGTAGGCCTGAAAAGGGTTGTTAAATGTATTATCCTTATCTAAAATGGACTACAAAAATTTTTGTTGCAAATAGTCCCAGGTGGAGGTTCCCATCATTACCTCCCAACTGGCAGCAGCTCTGGTGGCATAAATGGCATTTTGGAAGGCTACCAGCTGGTATTCAGCAGGTACACGGAAGGAAAACATAAGCAGTGTCCTCCTGCAAACATTTACAGCCTCAGAAACCCAGAGGACATTCATGAGTTGGGACTGGAGGGTCACTGTGAGTTAGGACGAGACAGTAGTTGGGTTTTACTTTTGGTTATAGTTAGCGGAACAGCAGGTGGTTTCACTGGTCCACCCAGTTTCTATCATTCTGCATCTAACTAGATCTTATCAATGTTCAGGATATCAACCCATTTCTTGGTAACATATAAACACTCATTCCTTCAAAGGCAAGAATGAAGGTGAGAGGAATCTTTTTCTCACAACTTTTCTCTCAGAGATACAGCCCTGACACACCCCTTTCTTGATTTGAAACCATGCAGTGTTCCTTTGCTGTTAGGACAGCTTCTTGTTTTAAATATTAAGTATGTGCATGTTGTGTGCCATCAACTCAGAACTGACACATAGCTGACATTCCAGCAGGTTTTCAGAAGCAGTTTTCACATGAGAGGGCAGTGTAGAACAGCTGGTAGGTTGTAATCTACAACCTACAACCTCATGCCTTTGAGATTGTAGTGTAGCTTCTTACCACTAGACCAGGTTGTTATGTGCCGTCGAGTTGTTTGCGACTCATAGCGACCCTATGTACAACAGCCCTGAACCCTGCTCTATCCTGTGCCAATCACAATGCCTCTGACACACCCATCCCGATTACCCCAGTCACTGAATCAGGAGCGCTACCCTAATCTAAGTGTCCATTTCATATAAGCACAATTAAATACTCTGGGATTTCTAGTCTTCTTAACATTTGCCACAGTTTAGGAACCACAAAGTCAAATGCCTTTGTAAAATCAATAAAACAAGTATTCTGGTATCATCTGCTGGAAGCTAACATGTACCCAACATCAATGATAACCCTGGTCCACGGCCTCTTCTACACCAAGATTGAATGTATGGCAGTTTTCTATCCATGTACAATTCTAGTTGTTTTTGAATGATCGTCAGCAATATTTTGCTTGCATGCAATAGTAATGATACTACTCAGTAACATTCTGTTGCATCGTTTTTCTTAGGAATGGGAATATGGATTTCTTCCAGTGTGCTTACCAGGCAGCAGTCCTCCAAGTTTTATAGCACAGGCTGGTGAGCATGTCCAGTGCTCCATCTGTTATTTGGAGTATGTCAATTAGTATCCCATTGATTCTGGGGCCTGTTTTCTTGCTAATGCCTTCAATGTAGCTTGAACTTCTTTCATTATCACTAGCTCTTTATCATATGCTGTGTCCTGAAATATTTCCGTGTCAACCAATTCTTTTTGGTACAGTGAGCTGATGTATTCCTTCCATCTTCTTTTGATGCTTCCTGGATCATTCAAAATTTCTTCTATAGCATCTCTAAGGATTGCAACTTGAATTAGTTTTTCAATTTTTTCATCTTTTGAAATATTGCGTGGATTCTTTTTTTCCTCCAACTTCAGCTCTTTCCACATTCCATTCTACTCCACTGTTTCTTGGAATCTGCAGTTCATTTCTTTTACTTTTTGACAACTCTTGGCTTTGTTTTGGCCTCCTGATGCAATACTGCAATCTTCAGAATCTCTTCTAACATCCATTTTTTTTTTGGCGCTTCTTTATAACAACCTTCATTAATAATATCCTCAAACCTATTCTTGAGGAGATTTTTAAATTCAAAGATGTATGTTGGTTCTTATGGACTTGGAAATCACTGGAGAAGTTGGACTTTTTCTGGATTGTGTTGTTAGGTGTCATTGAGTCAAGTATGACTTATAGCGACCCTATGAACATAAGAGCGGAACCCTGTTCTAGCCTGTGCCATTCTCACACTTCCTGACACACACAAAAAAGCCCACTGCAGCAGTCACCATGTCGATCCACCTATCAGTCCACTTCTACCCCCTGGTCGATGGTCTTCCTTTCCTTCACTGTCCCTCCACACTTCCCAGCATTATGTCCCTCTTCAAGGAATAGCCCCATGTAGCAACTGCTCAAAGTAACATTCTTGCCTTTAAAGAAGGCTGCACCTTCTCCAAGACCTATCTGTTTGTTCTCTTGGCCGTCCATGGGATGTTCAGTGTTCTTCTCCAAAACCACAGCTCAAGGGCCTCAATTCTTTTTCTGTCATCCTTATACATTGTCCAGCTCTCAGATGCATAACAAGTGATAAGAAAGACTATGGCCCGAATCAGATATATCTTATTCCTCAAATCAGCAGCATCATTACTCCTCAGTAATTTGGAGAGGTCCTAACTGCAGATTTCCCCAGTGCAGCAGTCTTCTGATATCCTGACTGCTGGTACTAAGGGTGTTAACTGTGGATCCAAACAGGATGATGCTGTTGACAGTTTTAATCTCCTTTCCATCATCACAACATTGCCTATCAGTTCAGTGGTCAGAATCTTTGCTTTCTTGACACTGAGATGCAAATCCATACCAAAGTCTGTATTCCTTCATCTTCTGCAACAAGTGCTGTCATCTACATAATGCATCAGGATTAGAAAACAGCTTATAAACAACCTGTAGGATGTAGATAACACAACTCGTTACTGAAAGAGAAGAGGAATAGAAACGCTTGCCTTACATCTCAACATCAAAACAAAAATTCTCACCACTGGGCCAATAGGCAACAAGCATCATAACAGACTGGGTGGGTGGGAACACACACACAAAATTGTCAAAGTCTTCATCTTACTCAGCTCCACAATTAACATCTTTGGTATCAGCAGTCAGATCAAGGAATGTATTATATTGGGAAAGTCTGCTGGCAGGGACCTCTCCAAATTATTGATGAGTAATGATGCCAGTTTGAGGAGTAAGGTAAAAAGAGCAATGATGTTAGTTTAGAGACTAAGGTGCACCATGGTCTTTCCAATCACTTGCTATGAATCCAAAAGCTGCATAATGAATGACAGAAGAGAAACTGATGTTTCTGAGTTACAGTGTTGGAGAAGAGTATCTCATGGACTGCCAAAAGAACAGATGTCTTAGAAAAAATGCAGCCAGAGTGGCCCTTAGAGGCAAAGATGGAGAAGCTTCATCTTACATACTTTGGACATGTTGTTGGTAAGGGTTAATTCCTTGGAAAGGGAGATCATGCATAGAAAGGTGAAGGGTCAGTGAAGGAGAGGAAGACCCTCAACAAGATAGAGTGACAAAATGTCTACAGGAAAGGGCTCAGGTATATCAGAGATGATGAGGATGGCACAGGATAGGACAGGGTTCAGACCTGTTGTTCACAGGGTCACTATGAGTCATGCTGGATGGATGAAACAATAACATCATCTCTCAGGGAGCTCTGATAGCCTCTTATGTAGGGAGTTATGATTCCAACCCAAAGGCAGGTAGTTTGAAACTACTAGCTGCTTCTAAGGAGAAAGATAAGCAGACTCCTTCTATGTGACTTATATCCTTTACTGGATAAAGGAAAAGTGTGACATTAGGATTGGAGGTAGACTCACCAACAATCTGCACTATGCAGATGATACAACCCTGCTTGCTGAAACTGAGGAGGACCTGAAAGGCTTGCTGCAGAAGGTCAAGGACTGCTGCCTTCAATATGAATTAAAGCTCAATGTCAAGAAAATAAAGATTCTCACCACTAGGCCTATTGACAGCATCAAGATGGATAATGAAGAGATTGAGATTATTGACAGCTTCAGTTTGCTTGGTTCCATAATCAACACTCTTGGTACCAGCTGCCAGGAAATTAAAGGATGAATTGCATTGGGAGAGTCTGCTATCACAGACCTTTCCAAGGTACTGAGGAGCAACGATGTCAGTCTGGAGACAGGTGCACCTGATACAGGCCATGGTCTTTGCAATCACTTGCTATGCATCAGAGACCTGGACAATGACTAGTAATGATAGAAGGAGAGTTGATGTCTTTGAGCTGTAGTGCTGGAGAAGAGTACTGAATATACCATGGACTGCTAGGAGAACAAACAAGTTCATCCTGGAGAGGATGAAGCCAGGCTGCTCCTTGGAAGCAAGGATTCTGAAGCTTCGTCTGTCATACTGTGGACATGTTGCATGGAGGGACCAGACCTTGGAGAAGGACATCATGCTTGGGAGGGTGGAGGGACAGCCAGAAGAGGAAGACCCCCGATGAAATGGACTGATTCAGTGACTGGGGTATAGGGGATTGTCTTATAGTCAAAGACAATAAGATTGGCAAGGGATAGAGCAGGGTTTAGGGCTGTTGTACACAGGGTCGCTATGAGTTGCAGGTGACTTGATGACACATAGCAACAACTGGATAAAGACTTCTTTAAATTGCTAAAGGGCAAAGAAGTCAGTTGGAGGAGTAAGGTGTGCCTATTTTCACTGCTTCATATGCTTGCAAAAGCAGGACAAATAAGGCTGGCTTTAGGAAAGTTCATGCTTTTACTCTGTTGGTGTAGAATACTGAACACACTATGGACTGTCAAAAGAACAAAGAGCCCTGGTGGCATGGAAGGTTAAATGCTAGGCTGCTGATCAAAAGACCAGTGGTTCAAATTTACAAGACACTCCTCAGGAAAGATTGCAATCTGCTCATGTAAAAATTGGAAATGCTATGTATGCAACACAAAACTGTTACAATGTGCGCAAAGACGTCTATCCAATTCCGGTATTCTCTTTGAGACAAATTATACAAATTTTCACAGCCTTTTATTTCTTTTTTTTTTTTTAAGGAAGCTGGGATTCCTTGGTCTGCACAGAAAGAGACAGGCAGAGAGCCAAACCAGGGAATGCCACACCCCATGGTGAATTAGGGCAGGTTTTATAGTGAGGGTCTTTAGGGAGGAAGGGAGGGGGTCTCCATGGTAGTTGAGGCTATTCACTCCTTTTGTTGACATGTTGCTATTCCATGAATCCTTTGTTCTCCCTTTGACCTTGGTTCTGGCCTGACATCCCAGCCTTGTTAGTGAGGAAAAAGGGCTAGGTATTCTTTCTGGCTACTTCCTGCTAAACAAGGGTGAAGATCGGGGCTCAGAGGCTGGATTGGGATGGCCCAGGGGAGAATATGGATGTTGCATCAGCTGGTTCAAGTTGGTCATTTCTTTTATCTTTTACTTGTGGGGTTACCCTGGTTGAAGCTGGGCATATTCAATCTTCAGCGACCAGGCCTAAGAGGTTGCCCAGGATGGGGACTGGGTTTGGTGGGGGGGATACCCTGCCACGTCTAGGTGCCAAAGGGCATTCAGCCTTCCAATGGCCCGGTGTCCCACAGATAAGACCGTGTTGGAGGGCAAGGGTCAGGGCAGCAGTTAGTCCAATGACTTTCTTTGCCACACCTGAAGCATGCACCAGGAGGTAACCAGCTCGTTGTGGAGGTGGTTTCTCCACAGCCTTTAAAGAAAAGAAAAAAATTGCAAATGCGGTCCAGTCGGTCTGACACACGTCTGAATCGACTTCCTCGCAGTGGGTATCAAAAGAACAAATTATCCTGAAAGTAGTACAATCATAAAGTCCTTTAGAAACAAGGATGGCAACTTTGTTTCACTTATTTTAGGCACCTTATCAGGAAGGACCTGGAGAAGGACTTCACACTTGATAAAGTAACAAATTCCACTACAGCTGACAGTTGAGCCTCCAGGGGGGTTTCTGAGGCTGTAAATAGCTGGGCGGAGACTGCCGTTTTAACCCCGGCCAGGAGCTGCTGGTGGACTGGAAAGAACAGCGGAGTGGCCTCTACAGTTAGTAATCTGGGCACACAAAACTATACACACACACTTCACCTACAGATCTCATCTCAAGGGCCTAGAACAAGTGAACACCTAACGCGCACGTGTTGGTTGGTTCACTTGCTAAACCGACTCCCAAATTCCCACAGAACACGACAGTGTCCGGAAGCCAGGTAGCGCGCAAAGGGGCCCACCCATCCCGGAAACGCTACGCGGCTTCACTGCAGCGCAGGCGCTTCAGCAACCCCGCAGAGGAGGTAGCACGCACACGGACGCCCGCCCACCCAGGATTAGGCGCGTAGTTCCTCCGCGGCACCCGCGCCTGGAGAACTCGCACTAGAGGCAGTGCGCACGCGCAGCGAACATACAGTAGCCTAAGTTGCGCTCTAGCGCTAGACGCCTCGGAAATATAGCAGTGAAGGCTACGCGGTTTTACTGTAGATGGCTGGTAGGGCCTCAGCAGAACTCCTCAAAACATGCACCATGCAAGACGGCTGTCGCACAAATTCCTTCTCCATCTCCCCACTCAGGTTGAGGCGCTCACCCCTCCACCAGCCCCTTGTTCCAGGATCAGCCCTGCTCAGACCGCCATGCGCACCTTGACACTCTGGTCACTGGAGCAGGTCGCCATCCGCCTTCCGTGGAAGTCGAAAGACACATCGTGGATGAGATCCTTATGATCCGCTGCAATACTCCGCGCAACGAACATGCCTCTGCGGATAGGAACCTACAGCATGTGGCCCCTGAGCTCCTAGAGAAAGCAGCTGCTGTTAGGAACACACACGTACGCCCATTCCCCGGAGCCTCACAGGGCCGCGCAGCTAGGCGCGCGCACTCAATACCCGTCATGCCCCTCGAGTCGGGAATTTCCGCTGCACTCTCCGAAGCTGCCAAGGGGGGTCTCGGTCTACAGTTCTGGTTTTGAAAACGAGAAAACGACTCCAGTTGAAAATATGATAATTAAGAAAAATAAAACTAAACATACTACTCCTAATCGTTGGCTTTCAAAGAATTTCTTAGAATATTACCGTGTTTCCTCTACCTGTGTTAGATGCTAGGGAACATTGAGAAGATAAATGTGGATTTGGTCAGGAATGGCGATTTTTAAGACAGTACAGTATAAGGATGTATAGTATAAGTATAATGATGGCTTTAAAGAGATGGACTAATAAATCCGGCTTTAAGAGATGAGAAGGATGAAAAGAGGAAGAAAGTGAGGGATTACAGAGGGTATCCTGGAGAAGGGGAAAAACGACTGGATCATAAATTAGCGTGGAAAGCTCGTGGATCACGGATGTCAGAGGCGGAACAGGCTAGGGGATGATAAGACCAAGGTCAGGCTGCTCAGTGTAGAAACTGAACTGCCAAAATTAGAATGAGAAACTGGAAAACAGTCAAGGGCATGGAAAGATCATGGGGGAGGGGGAAGGAGAATGAAGGAGATTATGTTTTGGACTATTTCTGAGGATATGAGAGTACGAAGTATTCAAAATGTTACTCTAAGACCTTTCTTGGTTTTGCTGCCAGAAAAAAAAAGAAAAAGTCAATCTTGGAGAGGGGTTGGAGTGGAAAAGTAGAGGTTTTAGGTGTAAAAATTCTTTTTTTTTTCTATAATTATATTTTATTAATTTTCATAAACATTTACAGAGATTTTGGGCTTCCACTCATTCATTGTTGCACTAGGTGTAAAAATTCTTGAAAAGATTGCTGCAAAAGATCAAAGACCACAGTCTCTAATATGGATTATATTTCAACATCAAGAAGTAAAAAGCCTCCCCACTGGCCTGCCTGGTAAGCAACGTCATGATTGATAGAGAAAAGACTGATAGGTAACAGTTTCTTCTTATTTGGATCCACAATCAAAACCCTTGGCACCAGCAGTCAAGAAGTCAAAAGACATATTGCGTTGGAAAATCTGCAGTCTTTTCAAAGTACTGAGGAACAATGATGTCAGTTTGAAGACTAAAATTGTGCCTGATTCTGACAATGGTCTTTTCAACCACTTGCTATGCATCTAAGAGTTGGAAAGTAATTAAAGGTGACAATAGAAATCAATTCTTTAGAAATTAATTAATTAGAAAGAAATGAGAATTAATTTCTACACAAAGAATTAATTCTTTGGTGTTGAAAAAGAGTATTGAATATCCATCCCATGTTGCTGTTAAGTACCATTTAGTCAACCTGCAACTCTTAATGACCCTATCTACAGTAATTCTGAATCTTGCCCTATCCTGAGCCAATCTCATTGTCTCTGTCAAACCTAATCCCATTTCTCCAGTCACTGAGTCAATCCATCTCATTGTGGGTCATCTTCTCCTGTGCTATATATACCTCCACACTTTCAAGCATAATGTTCTTCTCCAAGGACTAGTCCCTCCTGGCCATGTGCTCAAAGTATGAGTTTGAGCTTGAAAATCCTTGCCTTCATGTTTTCACCCTCTCCAGGACATTCCTGAATATCACATACAGACCACCCAAAGATAAGTCTTGGAAAAATGTAGCCAAAATGTTCTTAGAGGCAAGGATGATGAAACTTCATCTCACATACTTTGGGCATGTTGTTAGGAGGGGCTGTTCCTTGAAAAGGGAAATCATACAAAGGGAGAAGTTCAGAAAAGAGAGAAAGAAGCTCAACAGATGAATTGTCACAGTGAATGCAACAATGAGATAGTGAGGATGGCATAGAATAGGGCAGGGTTCAAATCTGTTATTCTTAGGTTGCCCATTTGTTGTTGTTATTGGGTACCATCGAGTCAAGTACAATTCATAGCGACTTCACACTTGACACATTAGAGCTCATTGCAGTAGTCCGTGTCAATCCACCTGGTAGAGGGTCTTCCTCTCCTCCTACCCTCTAACCTCTACCCTTCACTGACCCTCCAACTTTCCCAGCGACATGCCCTTCTCCAAGGAATAGCCCCTCCTAGCAACATGTCTGAAGTATGTGAGGTGAAGCCTCATCATTCTTGCCTCCAAAGAGCACTCCAGCTACACCTCCAAGACATATTTGTTTGTTCTTTCGACAGTGCATGGGGTGTTCGGTGCTCTTCTCCAACACCAGAGTTCAAAAGCATTGAATCTTTTTCTGTCATTGCTATTCATTTTCCAGCTCTCAGATGCATAGCAAGTGATTAGAAAGACCATGGCCTGAATCAGAAGCACCTTAGTCCTAAAACTGACATCATTACACCTCAATAATTTGGAGAGGTCCCTAACTGCAATTTTCCCAATTCAGTGTGTTTCTCCTTTTTTCCTGACTGCTGGTACCAGGGATGTTAATTGTGGATTCAAGCAAGATTAAGGTATTGACAGTTTCAATCTTTTCTCTATTTATCATGATGTTACCTATCAATACTTTGTTAAGAATCTTTGTGTTCTTGACATTGAGACGCAATCCATTTTGAAAGCGGCATTCCTTGATCTTCTGCAATAAGTGCTTCTTGTCCTCATTACTTTCAGCAAGCAAAGTTGTATCATCTGCATAATACAGGCTGTTGATGAGTCTCCCTCTGATCCTGATGCCACACTCCTCTTCACAGAGTCCCGCTTCTCAGATAAAGAGGGTGCAGCTGGAATACTCTTTTAATGCAAGAGTGATGAAGCTTCACCTCACATACTTTGGGCATGTTGCTGGGAGGGGTTATTCCTTGGAGAAGGGCATGTCACTGGGAAAGTTGGAGGGTCACTGAAGGAAAGGAAGACCTTCAACCAGGTGGATTGTCATGGTGACTGCTGAAATGGGCTCTTGTGTGTCAGGAAGTATGAGGATGGCACATGATAGAACAAGGTTCCAGATCTTTTGTACATAGGGTCACTATGAGTCATGTAAAACTCTTGACACCTAAAAACAAGAACCCATACTAAAGGCTGTGGTCTTGAGTCTTCTGCAGTAAGTGCTTCAAGTCAGTACTCTGGGGAGGTTTACCTTATGAAATTTGTCTTTTGATTTCCAGATTGCTGGTGCCAAGGGTGTTGATTGTGGAGCCAATAAAGCTGTAACTATTATCAACCTCAATCTCTTTTCCATCTTATCGTGGTGCTGCCAACTGGCTCAGTGGTGAGAATCTTTATCTTCTTTATGTTGAGCTGCAATCCATACTGAAGACTGCAGTCCTTGACCTTCTGCAGCAATTACTTCAGGTCCTCCTTAGTTTCAGCAAACAAGGTGTGTCATTTGTATAATGCAAGGTTTTTTGTTTTATCTTTATGGGGGTTTTTTTATTTTAACGAAAGATTACAGAGATTTTGGATTTCCAGTCATTCATTGTTGCACTTTTCTCCCTGCCCAACCCCCCCCAAGTTTGATCTTCGCTTTGAAAAGTAAAAAAAAAAAAATTCTTTCTTTGTTATACAATTCCACTCCACTATGCATCCTTCATTCTAGACTCTTGTCATGACAATAATACTTAATAATATATCCCTTTTAAACAGTTCTCTCCTTCATCTTTTTCAATGCAGTATACAAAACTAATCCCATCTTTCTCAGTCCCGCCCCAAACCCAATGTCCGTACCGTTTTACAAAGTGGCAGTATATAATATTTGTCATTTTGTGACTGGGCTATTTCACTTAGCATAATGTCCTCCAGTGTCACCCATTTTGGTGTGGTTTTTTTTAAAATTATTAATTTTAATGAAAGTTTACAGAGACTTAGGGTTTCCAGTCACTCATTGTTGCACTTTTCTCCCTGCCCCACCCCCCAATTCACTCTTCTCCTTGAAAAGTAAAACTCTTTCATTGTTATGCAATCCCTCCCCCCAATTCCACTCCACTATGCATCCTTCATCCTAGACTCTTGTCATGACAATAATATTGAATAATATATGCCTTTTTTAAAAATTTAGGTTGTTTATTTTTCATTTCAATGAACATCTGCAGAGATTTTGGGATTCCATTCATTCATTGTTGCACCCTTCTCCCCGCAAAAATCCCTCCCCCCCCCATTTGCTCCTCTCCTTGAAAAGCAAAAGAAAAACTCCCTCATTGGTACACAATGGGGCCGCACCTCCCCAAACCCCACCCCCTAGCCCCAAATATAATCCACTCTACAACCCTCATTGCATAATATATGCCTTTTAAACAGTTCTCTCCCTCATCTGTTTCAATGCAGTATACATCATTAATCCTTTCCTTCTCTCTCTTCCCTCAACCCCAATGTCGCGCTTTACAACAGTATGCAATATTTATCCTTTTGACTGAAATATTTTACTCAGCATAATGTCCTCCATATCTGAATGATAGTATTCACTGGGCTTCCTTGTAAGCGTATGGATATAATCCTGTCACTCAC